ATGTAATCAAAGAGCAACTCAATTAACATTGTTTTTGTTTTTGTTTGCCACTGTGCACTATAAAGCAGGTGTTAAGGTTTCATTTTTACGCAAATTTGTCTATAAAAGTGAGTTGGCGTTCTTTGAAAATGAATAAAAGATTGGCATGGAAAATTACCGAAAATGCGATTATTTACGTCCCGGCAAAGCTCTGTTCAAATTTGATCGGTAAAATCTTCTGCTAGAAAACTTTGCCTTTGACTGCATAAAAACTTTAGGGCATTAACCTTCCTTAGTTGGTATCGGAATTCCAACTTTCCCAGTGACAGAGATACTGTAGAATGGTCTATTGCTGAAATGGAAAGCTCTCATGCCGTCTTTATTTGCAGTTATTCACCACACCGAATTCAGGATTTCAAATATGCTGTTTCACTCAGAACAGGTGAACAATTAATTTCTAATTATATCTTCTTTTGCTCCTATTTAGGTTTAGCTCTGAAAACAATTGGTCTAAGTTATATTTCCTACATGTAATGAAAAGTCGAATAATGTTGTCAAATAATCATTTCTCTTGATCCGGCGCGGCGAAGGCCCTCAGTTATGCTATCTTTAAAATAGGGAATGGGGAATCGAGGAATGGGAATGGGGAATGGGAAATGGGGAGTGAGAAATGGGGAATGGGCTGGGGAATCTATAAAATGGGGAATCTTTAAAAGCGGAAATCTCTAAAACGGGAATCTTTAATAGCGGGAATCTTTAAATCTTTAAAAGCGGGAATCTTTAAAATGGGGAATCTTTAAAAGCAGGAATCTTTAAAACGGGGAATCTTNGGGAATCTTTAAAATGGGGAATCTTTAAAAGTGGGAATCTTTAAATCTTTAAAAGCGGGAATCTTTAAAATGGGGAATCTTTAAAAGCAGGAATCTTTAAAACGGGGAATCTTTAAAAGCAGGAATCTTTAAAAGCAGGAATCTTTAAATCTTTAAAAGCGGAAATCTTTAAAACGGGGAATCGTTAAAAGCGGGAATCTTTAAAAGCGGGAATATTTAAAAGCGTTAATCTTCACTAAAAGGTGACCGAGAATCTTTCAGCTTCGCACCGGGAGCTATTTATTCTGTCACATGTATCAACTCAGCAAGCACAAACACAGTTGTGGAATTTATTCATTGTAATTATATTGCACGCTATTAAAGCACATCGGTTTAGCGGGATAGTGGAGCGGTTCAGATCTCGATTCTCGCTCTCTGAGATCCGCTACACCGACCATCTTAACACCAGCCTGAGACGTTTTTAAATTGAGTTTCCCAGCGATAGATATTTGTCGTAGCCTTATCATGTGCTAATGGAAGGACTTACGACTGTACTACAAGTATATGGCAAGGAAAACATATGGGTTCTTGGTTTTGTAATAGACTGCGCTTGAATTTCTAAGGTTTTGCGTGACGCGGCATTTACATGACGGGCAGGAAAGCTGTCATGTTGGTTAAAAAAGTGACTTATTTAGAGGAATTTGGCTATCTGAATAGTTCATGTATTAGAAAAAGTATTATTTCTAAAATGATTTTGAGTTCCTCGAGAGATAAATTCATGCTTTTGTGGCAAAACTCAGTGACAGATGTTATCCGCATATCTTGCATAAGAAAAATTGCTGTGACCTTACTCTTGGCGAGAATCTTTTCAAGATTCTGTAATTTATCTATTGAAGTGTTTTGACTTTTATTTTGATCTATTTTGAATGGCGTAACACTGAAAAGCAGCAATTGCAAGGAATTGTCGCTCACCATGCGTACAACTGAATGATTGACAGCTTGACCAGTTTCCATATTTTAAAAGAGAACCAAGAAACCCCTTTTTGGCTGTGGTCTCTGGGACTTGAAGCTCGTCGTTTACGCGCTCAAGGAGGATTTCATTAACTTACTTCCAAAATGCCAGAGTAAAAATCCACGTAGCTGATGATAAGATCATAAGTGTGCGCCAGTTACGAACAAAATAGGCCTGAAGTCCCAGAATCATCAGGGCTGCCGTGGAGTAGAACCAAACCACAGTCCCTGCCGAGGCTCGCTTCTCAGGTCCAACCAGTTCAGTGGCTAAAACGAACATTGAAAGAAAACAGCCAGCCTAAAAAATTTCGACGATGAAACGACACAAAACGACGATCCAGAAGACCTTTGCAAACGCCATTGCAAATGTGACGAACAGTACAACCAGCAATGAAGGGAAAAGAACGCTTTTGCGGCCATATTTGTCGGCTATAGGGCCAAGAACGATAGCACCAACTGGCCAACCGAAAAACAAGACGGCGTTTGCTATCCAGGCCAAAAAGCCACGACTGCAGACCAAGTCAAACTGAAAAAACCATTAAGAATATTTTCGATAATAACTGTCTAATTTCTCGCGCGCTGATTGGCTCATTTTATCATCAATAAGAGTACAGACGGATACAATTTTAATTTATGCAAGCTTTCAAGCTCAACTTTCAGCTGTCAAACTGTCAACTTTTTAACCAATGAGATTTTATGGACTTTTTCATGTAGCCAATCAAAAAGCGAGAAAAGCTATTGACAATGTTCACATCAGTTTGAATAAAATTCACTTATCTTTGTTTACGGCAAGTCTACGGCGACTTTCCCCTTAATTTATTCCCGACATTTGACCATTTTGAAGTCTTGTTATTGTGAAAGACATACTGACGTCAGTTTTTTATGCGTCTGTCCTCTTATTGATGATAAACTTCGTCATATCATTGTCAAAGTTTACTGCGGAACTACTCGCCTGCGTCTCGTGGTTCCACAGCCACTTTGACAAAGTTATGACGCAATTTATCATCAATAAGAGAATAGACGCATAAAAAACTGACGTCAATTTGTAAAGTTTAAAAGCCTCTTGCAATGTTAACAAAATAATAATTAAAAATTTGTGCAATCTCTTTCTTGTTTGTAATCACCGCACCTTCTTCCTTTAATGTTATATCATTTGGATGCATAATAATAATAATAATAATAATATAATAATATTAATCGAATATTTCCTCAGGATAACCCTTCAGTTCAAAGTACTGTTATCAACGGGGTCCTGCTAAGAATTAAAAACTAATAAACAAGAATTATTAAGATATATAAAATAAGATACATATTAAAAACCGTTAAAAATACAATAGAAAGTAGGAGTAATAATCGTCTAAGGCTTTCCTAAATAAAACGCTAGAATTAATGTTTCTTAAACTTCGTGCCATTCCTCGTGTAGGAATGGCCGATACACATTCGTGCAGGAATGGCCGATATACATTCCAAAACTCTCGTGGATTTTCCGCTTGAGATCTCTTAGCGAAAAAGCCTCGTATGGCCTTTAATCTTAATGAGGTACAGCTATTCCTCAGCAATTTGTATGCAGCGTAATTAGTGTCTGTTCGATTCTTTACAAATCGTTTCCACAACTCGTTTTTATTTCGAATGCTTGTCCTCCATTCCTGGGTCATAAATGATAACTGATTTCCTCTCATCTCAAACTGTTTAATCGGGGCATGGTCATTCAGGACTTCATTGTATAATGACTCAAATGCAAAAAGTTTGACATCAATATCATCAAATACCTCCATTATGTAACAAGGTGTCACATGCAAATCACTCAAAAACATCTCCTTGTTGTAATTTTTCATACTTCTAAATCAAATTTTTTGACACCGCCAGCTAGACTGGTCACTGATCTAAACATCAACAACTCCAGTTTTTAGAATCCTCCAGGAATTGTTGTTCAGAATAAGATCAAGAAGTGTTGCAAAAGTCTTTCCAATTCGAGTAGCTTCGTGTATCAAGTTAAAAAAGTTGTAAATATCCAGACGATCGTTTAGTTTGCGCCCATCCCATTAAGCATAGTTTAAGATCCAAAAACCAAAAACTCGAGTGTGGCACATCGCTTAACTTGCGAGAACAATGGAGATGAAAGAAAAATGACATGGGCGAGAATCTCCAACCCACGCACTGTCAAATTCAATTTATTTCCACGAGTGAACTACACGTGTATAGATTTGAGGGAGGGTCAAAACTAGCAAAACTAGGGCCATTCAGCATAGTTTGGGATCCCGACACCGAAAAAGCGAGTGTGCCGCATCGCTAAACGCGCGAGAACACATCACAAGTGTGCAGATTTGAGGTAGAACTAAAACTATCACCTTCGAAAAACCCAGTAAGCATAGTTTGGGATCCCAACACCGAAAACACATCGCTAAACGCGCGAAAACACGCGAGATGAAAGAAAAATGACATGGGCGAATGAATCTCCAAACGACGGAACTTCCAATTCGCTAGACTTCCTGATTAAAATACACGTGTGTAGATTTAACGTAAGGCCAACACAGGCATCTTCAAAAAACCCAGTAAGCATAGTTTGGGATCCCGAAACCAAAAACGCGAGTGTACCGCATCGCTAAACGCGCGAGAACACGCGAGAGAATAGAAAATTGACATGGGCGAGAATCTCCAACCCAAGCACTGTCCAAAACGATCGACTTTCACAAGTGAAATACACCTGTGTAGATTTGGGGGAGGGCCAAAACTAGAATCTATTAAAAACCCAGTAAGAATAGTTTAAGATCCTGACACCGAAAGCGCGAGTGTGGCACATCGCTACGAGAACAATCGAGATGAAGGAAATATAACATGGGCTAGAATCTCCAACCCACGTACTGTCCAATTCAAT